TCATGGACTATAATCAACCATATTAAAGATTAAGTTAAATAAAAAAAATCACGAAGACACACGATACACGCAAGACACAACGGATAACAGAGATTGAATTGAACATTCAGGCTAATGATAAATTGAAATTTTTATAAATCAAATTTCGAGAACAAGACATAACTAGAACCTAATTTTTTCCATTCAGTTAAGTCGAAACTAAATTAACGATTTTGATACACCATTGTAATAGGTTGTATAATTCTGTTGTATAAATGCTAATAATCCGGAATTTCATTATCAGTTTCAATGTGTAAGTTAATTCCAGTATTGTATACAGTAAAAGTTAGACAGATAACATGCATATATTTGATAAATAATTCGCCTTCGTTCAACGATGTTTGAAGCTTGCACACGTTTCTCGGACTCGCGAACAGATTAGAGTATCTATCAAGAAGAAGGTATCCTTTTACCAGTCAGCAGTTCGATATGGTGGCGATTCGTGAGGTGGACAGAACTTGGTCTCGCTGTTTCCAGTCGCGCCGAGGCTGCTGGATCCGGTGATGCCCGGTTATCGTTTGAAAAACACTGGAGGGGCCACCGCGGTCAACCGTTCGTCGATAAACCCCGGTCATAACAGAAGCTACGATGTCAGCCGTGAAGATCTCTTCGGTCCGGTTATATCCGGAACGCTGATAACTCGACCCCGTTAAAGCGGTTCCCCTGCAATTTTTCATGATTCAGCTACTTTCCCGGATTGCTCGGTTTCTCGGGTCTTCTCGAGCAAATAGAAATCTCGATGTCGGGGGTCAGTGAGCTGTTTTGATTGCAGACCGCTGTTCCAAAGCTACCAGCACCGCGAGGACGATTATTACCGTAGACTTCGAGAAACAAAACTTCCTCTCGCTTCGTTATTTGAAGTTATCACTGGGTATTTGGGGGGTGATCGTGGGACTCTTATCGTCGTGATGACGTCTTAACAAAATCAGATTGAAAAAATTGCCCTGGTGGAATGGAACGCAACGTTTCGTACAGATTATATCTTTCTAGGGGGTCAAAGATATTTGTATAATAAGAATGTGGAAAAATGTATAGTTTCTAAATTATTACTTATATTTAAATCCTTATGTATTTGTATTTTATATGTACATATGTATGTATGTGTAAATTTTATTAATTATAGATATACAGTAACATGACTTAATTACAATTGCTAATTTATATGTGTACCTAATACACAGAATGCACGAATACTTTTGCTCATTACTGTATATGTATGTGTATGTTTTTTCCTTTTGAGGTTTCTTCCATTCTTTATGCATACTTAACTATATACTGAATATTAAGAACACTCGAGGATGATGTGCTGGACTATTTCGTGAGCTAAATAAATATATAAAAATGATACAAAATTATACAATTATTTGAGAAACGGCAAGAGCTATTAGAACAGGATAAATATAGCCATTTAAGAATAATTACTGAATAATACATAAAATCAATATGATATATGCTGCTAATGATGCATGTTTATGTAACACTACATAGTGCATTAAACTTCATACACATGTTATGAGTTGAAATATGTACGAGAGAATTTTACATGCGTTTACGGAAGAAACATGAATATACTTATATATATATATATAGTATATAGGGTGATTCACTCTCTCTACGCACAATCAAAGGCTGCGGTTGTTTGGAGCGACACGGCCTTTGGTTTGAGCAGCGAGTGGAATACCCTGTATAATTATTATAATATATCATTATGAAAATATGAAAAATACATAGAGTAAAATGAAGGTTCTTATTCGGTTCAACATAATTGTTTATACATATAAGTTTAGTTATATGCCTTTGTACTCAAAGAGTTGATTTAATAGAATAAATAGATTTCTACTTAACGCGAGTTTTTATCAAGATAATATATGAAACAGAAATAAAAAGAAATAATAAAGAAGTAAAATAATAAGCTTAAACACTTTTTCCAATTTTTTGGATAACATTTCTCAAAATTCTGTTTTATATTCAATTTTCTAATCTATATTAAAAGTCTCGATAATTGAAAGTAGGATTGTAAAAGTAATAAATCTTCATTCTGTTTTTGTAATGTTTCTGGTGTCATAAATTTGATCATCATGCCTTCTAAAAGTCGTTTCCGTTTTGATGCTTTGAAATTGTTTGTTCATACAATAAATGACACATACCGGATATATGAATTGCTCGAGAAAAATAATTGACTGTTCGCTGAGATACATATTAACGTCACATTTGCAATTTGCAATACCTGTGTTCATTTCAGAAAACGCAAACTAGCGAAGTTAACGCCGAAATCTGCGTCACGTGTAAATTGCTTCATATAAGTATAAATTATAAACGAATGTATTGGCAGAACGCGGCGTCAAATCGACGCAACTGCAAAATTACGCGTGCCGCTCGTGCGCGCCGGGCCTAAAGACAGGTCCAAATCTGTGCAACACGGCACGCGGCCAAAATCCCGTCCATATTTAAGCAACATGCAACAGAATTTCCACTCAAGAAATTCCACTGAAAAATGTTTCAGGTAAAAGTTGACTGGTTGCAAGAGGGAAATAATTTTATGCGAGTAGCTTCTTTGTAGGTGAACGCGTAGAAGACATACATATTATATGAATACATGAAGGTCAGATTTGTGAATCGTGTCTAGTGAAACATGGAATACATTACTAGTAGCACCTCGTAATTTTGAAATTAAAGTATCTCCTAAAGTACCTAATGGTATTTTGTTATAAATACCTCTTTTTATAATACCTTTTTTTTAAAAGGAATAAGAGATGCATCGGCTGATGTATTATAAAATATATGATTCCATTTAAAAAAACAAAATTGACTGCCTATAAAAAATTTATTTACATAAAATTATTTCTCCCTCGAAAGCATTTCACTTTTGCCTAAAACATTTTTCAGTATCTACAACGGTTTCGAAGATATTCAGGGGAATCAAATTAAATGACTCACATTGTATCTACATACGAGTAAAAAGTGTTTAGCAGAGTTTACACAACGAATCCTTATACATATGTACTTTCAAAGTTCGACCTTTTATTATACCATTTCGAGAAACTCACGCTGTACATTTTGAAACAATGAATGGAATAGTTGTTGGTAGCTCGCGAGTGACTTTTAATTGCAGAAAGGCACGGTTCCATTCAGTCGTCAGAAAAGTGCTGCGGAAGATAATTCCCAAGCGAGAGCTTCCTTGGCAAAACGTGTTTCCTCACGTGTTGGGCGTCATGCGTCGCGTTTACAACACGTGATAACGCGGCGTCATCGCCGAGCGACATCTCTCTCCTTGTTAAAGGAACGTAAGCGCCGCCACCCGCCGTCCGTGGATCGCAGTCGCGGCCGTGCCATATCAGAGCACGCACAAGCTTTACCGCGAGTGGTGTTATTTCACGCGTCATTGTCTATCGCGCGCATCCCTTTCGTCGTGTCACTCCGGGGAAAGTGAATCTCGAACGGTGCTCCAAATTGGGAACTGTTTGTAACATGAATTACGCTAAATTTTCGTGACATCGAGCAAACTATTTGAAAGATCAACTGTGAAAGGAATATTTCGTCGAGTGTGTTTCATCTTCGATTGCCACGGAAAATTCGAATTCAGTTACGAAGAGGAACTGCCGGATAGAGGGCGACACCAACTTCACCGACTCGAGGAAACATTTACTTACAATTAGTGACTTCTACACGTTTTCAGAAATAGAGAGAAAGGAATATAATACTGTGCTGTCTCGTTTCTGTTCTCACTTGTCGTGCGTATACGTTGTCACGCGGTGACTTTAACACAATGGTGACGCATAGCATGGACAATATTTTGAATATGCAATATTACCCGACGAACAGCCACGTAGATGCAGCGGTGCACTCGCCGTCGTTGAGGAAAAGGCGCTGTTTGAATAAAGAGGTGATTCTTTCTTCTTTCTTTCTTTCTTTCGGGGTGCGCCCGTTCACAGTGTTGAGACTTGTGCAAATTTTCGTTCTGTGTTACGAAGTGAAGCTGATGGTTTTCTTCAAACGTTTCTTAAGGGTGCAGGGCCTTTTGATATTAGGTAAATCGTCGACAGTCATACGAGGATGAATCATAAAGATGGAAAGTGTTGAAACTTGTCTGCGTATTTTTACTACTTAATAATCTACAATTATTAATGTCTGGCTTTCGATAATGTGAAATATTTCTCCAATTACCTATCTTGGTATGAGTAACTTCGACGACTCACTATTTGATATGTCGAATTAGTGACGCACTATCGCAAGAATCAGGGGAATCCCGTGGAAACGTGTAACACTTTCGATAAGGATGCGGTAGTAATGGTCAAGCGATATTTGTTAACTAAGTCTTAGTAATTCGATAAAGCATTAAAGCTACATTGTTAAATCAAACAGTAAGTGTTTATGCAATTTCACATTTCCGTAAAATAAGTTTTAAGAAATACAAATTCAACTTGAAGATACTTTGCTAATCCTATTGCATATATTAAAAATCAAATGAAGGCTATCTTAAACTTTCGAAAATATTTCATTTTATTGTGTTTTGCATATCCACCTATACTTTAAAAACACATAATCTACAGTTTAATTATCATTAAACTCCGAATACATTAGATAGTCGAAATACATTTATGATATTTTGAGACGACTTTTTTATTCGATCGACTTAAAGTACAGAGCAGACAAAGTATGTTTGTCAAATTTCACGAAACTGATTCATGTAAATGTTTTTTACGAATGGAGCATTGTTAAATATTGGCATTATCTTCAACAGAGTCGAATATTTTTCTCCTACGCACACACATGGGCTCAACGAAAGACAGAGAGCAAAGAGCTTCACTGACAGTAGCAACGCCGTCGTGGAGCACAATTAAACAAAATAGACAGTTATTTTTTAAGAAAACACAGTATCACCATTAATCCATGAATTATGAAATTTCAAAACAGACATAGGCATCTTGTACTTAACGTGATATTCGTCGTTTCTGTTACAGCAAGATCCAATGTCCCACAGAATCATCGAAAAACGGAGAAGAGATCGTATGAACAATTGCTTGGCCGATCTGAGCAGACTCATACCGGCCGAATACCTCAAAAAGGGCCGAGGACGTGTAGAGAAGACGGAGATCATTGAAATGGCAATTCGTCACATGAAGCATCTGCAAGGTCTTCGACAAGGTACTGATCAGATATAATGTCACGGAAATTCACTCGGTACAGTAATAGCTTCATGAGAGTTGGATAGGAAGTTCCTCGTGTGAGTTTCTACTTCGTCACCACCACTGGGGCGAGGAGCGGGGCGGGGGGGGGGTGATCTGTGAAACGCACAATTTGTTGTCGAGGTTCCGGCTTCAGGCAAAAAATATTGTAGTTTTGTAAGGGGTTGAAATGATTCGCGGTACACCATGAAAGTTTTGAAGCGAACTCAAGTGTCAAACTCTCATATATATAATTTATTATTGATCGCTTTTTCAGAAACGAAGCATTCTGCTGTAACGTCGGCGCACACACATCCCGAGGATAGTGTCGACAGCGTCTCTCATTCTACTGTAACGTCCACGGCAGCGGAACACTATAGGCTAGGTTTCCAAGAGTGTCTCAGCGAAACCATGCACTTCCTCGTGGAGGTCGAAGGTTTCTTCGCTAGGGACTCTCTCTGTGTACAGTTAATCAACCATCTGCAGCAACATTGCGAGAGGATCTTGGCTACCAGTGAGTATTAACACTGTTATACTATTGGGTTGACACACACGAAATTGACGCTCGCTGGTGCATAACGTTAGCTTCCATTATGATGGAGATACAAAGTTCATTTGAAAAGTTTTCGAATTGAAGTAAGAATAATAATGTTTCGTATGATATTCACGGTTTTTTATCAGCAATTGTTGTAAGTAGTTTCATTCTAAGATGATATGTTTATCGTAACAATTATACAAACACTTGGAATAGCCCTGGTTCATCTTCTTCCAGATGGTGGAGAGAGTAGTCGTCGAAATTCTGTGAACGTCAAAATGATTTTGGATTGTTGTTTCTTTACGTTCATTTTCAATTTGGGTAACAGAAATTAATTTGATGTATCCGAATTACACGAGTACGGTTGATAATCAAACTGTGAGATACCTTTGGAGACAAGGAATGTTGTGTAAACTCATAACTCGTGAAAGTCCTTCCACAATCTTGAAGATGAATTATTAGAACCATCTCCGGAGTTTCTATAATCATTGTGAACAGTATATCTTTTTCAAAGAACACTACTTTTAATATTCGATGATAAAGAGCATCATCATTTTACGGAAAATTTTTGTTTTAATTTCAATTTGGAAAGTTTTTGGACAAACCCCGTATATTGACACTTTAATGACCGGTGTCACATACGCGTGACTTCGCTCGACTAGCGATTGTTGACAGGTGTTATACAAACATAACTTGTATGTATAAGTACTCTCCGCATAATTCCACTCCTATGTATAAATTTGTTTATTATGTCCGGTGTTTGTGTAAGGTTCTTGCAAAAATTCGGATTTTTTTCTGAGATACATGTTATACTTTCTAAACAATGATTTGTACGGTCAGTTTTGTTACGAGCCGAGGGTTAAAGAAGCTGCCGGCTATTCTCATAGCCGAGGATCGGTTGTTTGAATCGTTGTTAGTCGTGGATAAGCCGGTGCTTATTTCATCACAGGGCTACCACATAGGGAATTGTGACTCGTGGATAGGCCGCCGATTATTTCATAATCTGTATACCATTCGGAGGTTGGTTTTCATGGATAGGCCGATGCTTATTTCATCACCGAGGTACCACTAGGAATGTTAGCTGATCTCGTAACTTTAAGTTAAATTCGGTACACCTCGATCGGTAAAGATTTTTTTGGGGGTTGTATTGCTAGTTGCTGACTTAACTTGTGTGTTAAGGTTTAAATGAATCCACACCAGATTACCAATGAACCTTATAATAAATATACATATATTCAAAATAATAAAAAGGACGTTACAATTGTTCTGTGCGTACAAGTATCGAGAAGCTAAGACCTACCTTGACTCTAATATTAAATTGAAATCGTTTTGCCTTACTTCGTTTTGACGCACTAAGAAATGTAGGAACAGGGTAGGTACGGTTGAATAATTGCGTGAATGGGACTCGTACCCGATCTTGCTCGAATTCTCTCTGTTAACTGTGCTTGACGATAGCAGTCTTTTTAATATCCAAAAATTAGGATGGAAAAGTTGTGGGCCTGGATGTTCCAGTTCCATATATGGGCATGAAAAATTCTCTGCAGGAGAGAGGTTCTTCTAGGAAATCATGACTCCCACATGTCGCCACGGCTGCCGCCATATAGACTAAACAAGTGTGACTCCAGCTTCGTAAGGATTATACAAAGTTTCGGAAGGAATCTGGATGTAACGGTGTCTTTGAGTGTATGACTTTTCCTTTTTACTTTAAAAAAAAAAACCGATACTATTTATGCAGAAAATTAAGATAAACATTTCTTTTTACTGGCATTGAGCAGTGTAAAATCTTCCATCGTGTCGAGTTGTTTATTTACTTTCATTCGAAGATTTCGGTATTTACATTTATCAATCCGGTACCTAAAGTATCAGTTAGTTAATATTTATACTTGCAAACTACCGCGATAAAGTTCTGAAAATAAGGTTGAAGCGTACGCTGACATCTCGTCAGACATTAAACCCCGATTATAACATTCTTGTATGCAATGTGCGTCATGCAATTGGGACGGCTTAGGTTTCAAACTTGGTAACAGATAAAAGAAACTGTTTTGGGAAAAGTTGAATGATATGACAATGTCTATTTTTCTGCGATTTCACTTTTTTTTTTATAAATGCAACGATGCTCCCAAAAAATGTAAACGCATGTTTTTTTTTTTACTCCTATCAATTCTTCGGAACATTTTACGCGAAAAAGTATTGGGATACAATATTTCGTGAGATATCCCATTTGTGATAAGCCGTGTACTTACTTTATCAAAGATCGAACGTTCCGCCTTCACATTGTAAGCACTTCGTACATCGTAAGTATGTAAAAACTGTGAGATTTCACAGAATGTTCTGTGGAATTAATAAGAGCAACAAGAACATTTCCATTTAAAAAAACAATGTATTTGCATTTTTCTAGTTCATAGTTGTACTTATGATGAAAATGAAGTCATAGAAAAATAGACATTACAATACTATTCAACTTATCACTGTACAGTTTTTTTCTAGCTGTTACCAAATTCGAGATATAATCCGTTCCAATTGCGTGACACACTTTGTATGAAGGGAAATGTTTTTCATCGATCCCTGTATCAAATTAAAGTATCAGTGTTTGATACGATTTGCAGCAAAAACTATTTTTAAACAGTAAAAATAAATAGTTCTATTTTATTAATTCCCAACCAACAATTGAATTGCAATCCTCTTGATGACTAAAGATTTTGCACTCAATCGTGGTCGTCGATGTGTGTTCGAATTGTTAAAACCGGTATATGGTGATAAGAAATACATAAAAGTTTGTCAATCATAAACGAAAAGTAAAGATAATTTTGAGAGAAATACAAGGGACGATTATAAAGTGAAAATGTGCGATTGTTTTGTATGATCTGGCTACGGTCTGTATTACGCGAATAACTTTGTAAAATCTATTGGATATGGGGATATTCAATTCTGCGCTGGGCTATCATATACATTAAACCTTCTTATAATATATTTTCCAATACTTTGAGGTTTTTTCTTAGGTTTTTTTCATAAATGAATAGTTTAAAAATAATACGGCTACAAGAAACGCATTGCAGAGATTTCTTTTATCCAGAATTAGCTGCGTTTAGCACAAATGTATTGTTGTGACGTTTGAAGCCACGAAGCTGGCGCGCGTTATAACTGAAGATACCTCTGACTTGCAGAATCGACTTGTGGATCGGTTGGTCTTTTCGCTGACAACCGCCAGTATTTAAAAAGGAGAGTTTCTGACATGACATGAGAGAGAACAGACGTACCATAATTAAGTTGTATTGTTGTAAATAAACGTTGTGTTGTGTTCTATAATGAAACCGTTATGTCGCGTGGCGGAACGCCACGGCGTAACAGTATTTATGGTTTAATTAGTCGTTGAGTAAAATTGTTCAAGATCATTTTCTTTCGAATTGTCCCATTCGAAAGAACAATATTGTATGCATTAATCCGACACTACCACAAACAAAACTTTTTGGTATCTACAAAACTACGGTTCTTTAAATGTGATAAACATCCACGAGTAGTGTGAACTAATAGGCAAAAGGAACTGTGGGTAGTGATCAGGTACACTAATATTGTATAGAAAAATGTATACTCAATGTAATATTAGATATAGTAAAATAGATATATAAAAGTTGTTTCCATTTTCAAATAATTTCATTATACTGTGTCAGAAATGCATTTTGCGCTCGCTGATCCTTTTCTTTGACAATATAATTTACACAACGAATAGATTCGAACCGTACCTCAAAGGAAATGCATGTTCACCGGATCAATCGAAGTTATATTTCTCCAGGATGAAGATAAGAAATACACTACAATTGAAACGTTACGAATTTTCCGAACGATCTAATATCTGTCACTCGTTTAGTAAAATCTTGTGATAAACATAAATTTTGGGGATGCTTGATCTTCTTTAACGTCGGTATTGCTAATTATCTGCTGTATAAAAAAATGTTAGCTTTTCTGAAATCCCCCACCTAAACGACAGATATAATACAATAAAAGAATATATGCTTACGAGTTTTATAACCCGACAGAAGTTCCTATAGGACCAACGAGTATCGTGTAATTTTCCACAATTTCTACAAGGTATATTTCTAATTATCTGCTGTATAAAAAAATGTTAGCTTTGTTGAATAAGTGCTCATAACTGGTTCCCTATTTAAAACGTACTAGCCTTGTAAATGTCTAATTACCACCTATCCCATTAATAGAATAGGCTCAGATAACAGTTCGTTAAATTTCAAAATATAATTTCAGGTGACAGGCTGGGTTTTCCTCACCCCGAGGTGCCAACCTCAAACGGCACCATAAACGATGGCTACGCTCACACCAGCATTCCCACGATATGTCAACCAAATGGCCACTCAGACCACGGGTCCAGTTCTGGTGTGAGTTCTTTCGGTGATCCAGAACGTCCTCTGCATTCCACGATCATACCACCACCAGTTATCGTGAGCGATGATAGCAATCACAGCACCCATTCGCACAGCACACCTCCGACCAACAACTGCAAGCCTTCCAATTACAAGTTTAAGAGCTCCATCAAGCAGAGGTTCTCCGCGGAGAGGATAAAATCCAGCCCACCGCCGGCGACCACTCCGGAGAAGCCATGTTCGTCCCACGGTGTACCAATATTTGCTCTTCACGATGGCGGCGCTTTTTACGTCCCGTTCACCGTCGAGGCGTCGCTGTTGAGGCCTCATCTGAATTTTATCCCGGATACCGGCCCAGACACAGTCCTCCATCCTGTGACGATCTCGGTGAACTTCAATCAGTCGAGTCCACCGGCATGGTCGAATCATCATAGCCCCATGCATCAACAGACATAAACGAACGAGGTGTTTCTCGAAATGTGGCCCGATATTTT